GGGTAGTGTGTTCCGAACCCTGTCAACAACAAACAAACAAAAACCTTTGTGGCCAACACCAAATTAATACCGTAAGCAAAGTCAAAAGGCAAATGACCAATTCAGAAAAACTGTTTAGAACCAAAGTAAAGATAACATTCCTAATATATAAATGCTCTTAGAAATTTATAGGAAAAGAAAACATGATAGAAAAATGTACAGAGGACATGCTCATATGACCCACAGAAAATGAGTAGAAAGTACCTCAGATATATAAAAAGATGCTGAACCTACTACTCATTGTAAGAGGATTGCAAATTAAAACTATCCTGAAACAATTCACCAAAATATATTAAGTGAAAAAAGAAAGTGAGGAATAGTGTGTAGAGTGGGAATATATGAGTGGGAAATAAGTGGGAAAATAAGAATTTATATTTGTATATATATGCAGAAAAAGTACCCTGGAAGTATCCATAAGGTATTAATAACTGGTTGCCCAATTTTTGCAGGGTTTTTTGAAGGTGAAGGTCAGTGGTAGGAGGGAGACTTCTGTGCTGTGTATACTGTTTTATATGTGAACCATGTGAATATATCTATTCAAAGTATTTTTTTTAAAGTTCATTACATGAATGAATGTTTATTGTGTATATCACTTGTTTTCCTTGCAGGATTGTTTCCCTTTGCTATTGAACTTTTATAGCATTGTTTTCATAATTTATTCTCTTAGGTAGTTTTCTTGGGATAGCACAGGACTTATACTTGATATCTTTCCAGTCATGGTCTGTTAGGATAGCATTTAGGTTTGAACCAGACTAGCTAGATTTGTAACCAAGGTGCTTTGCATAAAATAGAAATGAGATTCTACTATTATATCAGTTATCTTATGCCATTGTTGTTGCAAGATATTGCATCAGTCTGTATAAAAGATCACGTGTGTAGTGGTAATCATTTTTACCTGTGTTCATTGATACCTCAAAAGGGAAGATTCATCTGTTTTTGAAAATGTTTCTTATTTATCAATTGTGGAAAAGGTTGGTAACCTAAGAATAGAGGTTAGTATATCATATTTAACTGGTATTTTCATATGAAAATAACATACAATGAGAAAGATTCATTTGCTTAAAAACAGTCAGTTGCTAGACATTGCCTAACATTTAAAAAAGTAAATTTTTATAGGTTAAACATTTTTATATGTGGATTGAAAAGATAATATTAATCTTTTAATGTATTGCATTCATCTTTTATCTCCTAATTAGTAAATTTGAGTACCAATTAATTTGAAGTAATGACAGAAGAAATGTAGTTATTAGCTCATAAGTGTCTTTAACTAGTAGTTTATAGAAGTGCTTTTCAGACATTACAAACAGCTATAGATTAGCTATCAAATGATTGTGAAGATTAATTACCAGCCTTTTAGCTGGGTAATTTAGAACAATATCTGGTAATTAATTGGGAATTATCAGTTTTAAAGTCACAAATATCTTAAGGAAAACACCATCAAAAAAGATAATAACAGTGACAATAGTTCAATTGCCATTTAGCTTTTAGACTATTTGAGTAAATTAAAGGAAAATTTAAAAACCAACCAATTTCAGAATTTTAAAAGCATTTCAAATTCTGAAGGTAAATGCTTTTCAACCTATGATTTTATACTTAATCCGACTATTTCTCAAGTACGAAGGTAGAATAAATACACTTTCAGATACTCTATGTCTCAAAAATTTAGTTCACATGCACCCTTTCTCAAGAAGGCACTGGAAAATGGAGGATTGTAGAGAAAGAGAGAATAAAACAGAAAGTAAAATATATGATATCAGAAATAGGAGAGACAGCACAGAAGAGATGAAGGAGATCTCCAGGACTATAGTGAAGGGAGATCCCAGGATGGCAGTTACATAGTAGACACAGATGATAGTCCGTCTAGATTGGAGCAGTTTGACTCAACAGAGAGATATGGGGAAACGGAGCTATTAATGCCAGCTGCCTTTATAACTTTTTTTTTTTAAACCTGAGGACAAATTACCGACATTATGAGGTGAGACCATATTCATATGAGTACTTGGGTTGTCTTGATCATGTGCTGATTAAGTTCCTGCTCTCCCTGAGTCACCTGAGGATTCTCACTTCAGCCCTCAAAAAATGTGCTCTGCTTTGACCCACTTCTGAGGGTAGAGATTAACACTGGTGAGCTTAGAACTGAAAAATATAGTCTGCTTCCCAGAGTTTATTCATGCCAGATACCCACTATTTGGCTCACACTACTTCTGATAGATGCGCCAGTTCTCCTGCCCTCTGTATCCGTATTGCCCAGTATTTCCTAAGTGACTTTGCTTGTAGACTTCCCACAGATAGCTTTATATATCTCTGACAGAAGCTGAAGCTGCTCTGCCTTCTATACCTCTCAGAGAAGCTGAAGCTGTGCTGCAACTCACAGATTATATATCTTGTCTTCCTTTAGTTAGTTGTGGCAATGTTGCCCTTTCTTTTTACAGCTGGCTGGGTTTGTGCTAGACTTAGTTTTTCAAACCAAACGTAATAGGTATGTTTACTACATAGGTGGTAAAACTATCAAAAATCAAGTAGTAAACAATGAAGTGTTAGGATAGTGATTTTCTTCTGATGGAAATGGGGTGGTTAGAGAGTACGGGTCGGGAGGGCCATGGAGAATTGTGAGGCACTGGTAATATTCTAGTTCTTGTCATGGGTGGTGGGTTCATGGGATTAAGAAAGAAGTATTGTTCTTTACTGTGTACATATAAATTGTATATACTTACGTTTATTGATATGTTTTATAATAAAAATTCTAAAAACTTTAAATTTTGAGAAAATCAAAGCAAATGATTATTGAAAACTAAACTTATTCTATAATGCAGGCTGTCCTAGAAATATATCACCACGAGGTTGGCAGTACATAACTTGCTTTCCTTAGATAATGATAACTGTTTTATCACTGCAGAAATGATTTCTCTAAAGTTGGTTCTCCAAACAATAGACTAAGTGATCCTTTTAAATTGGAAATCAGATTGTGTCTTCCCTCGACTCATAATTCTCAAATGGCTGCCTCAGAATAGAATTCAAAGTCTTTAACACAGTCTATAATGCTGTGCAGTCATAACCTAGCCAGTGGCTACATCTCTGACCTCATCTTCTTCAGTTCGTAGTCCACTGGTTTACTGGTATTCCTTAAACTAACCAAGCTTATTTTCACTCCAGGGCCTTTGCAGTTATCTGTCCTTCTCTCAGCCTGGACTGTTCCTTTTCACATACTTGCCCTCTCTTTTATTCTTTTCTTTGTTCAAATATAACAGAGAGGCCTTCCCCAGTTACTCTAGTAAAATACACCCTCCCACATAGACTTCCACTGCAGTTATTCTCTATGTCCTTTTTTCTTTCCCTAAAAAGCACTTATTACTACTTGACAGTATCTTACATATTTGTGTATTTGTTTTCTGTCTCCTCCATTAGAATATAAGCTCCATGAAGGCAGGAACGTTGTGTTGTTCATCACCCAGTGCCTGGCATGCTGTAGATGTTCAGTAAATTTTTGTTGAATGAATATGAGGAATTGGTCAATTAAAATAAAGAACCCATTTCAAAGAAAATATTAACATTATGGGTATAAAAGAAATTGATATTTTAAAGATATTATTGTATCATTTTACTTTTTAGTGTGGAATATATACATTTCTTTTTGAAATATTAAAAAAGTTTCAGATATTTATAACTGAAATATTTACAATTATGAAAAATACTTACAAATATTTACAATTATGAAAATGTTTATTCCCTAAACATTTTTATTTTTAACTTATATCACATTATGGCATGAATTTTCTGTATATGTCATGAGGAAAGGCTAGTTAATATCTATAGAAGGAAATTTTTGTATTGTGTATTATTTATACTTTTACCTTTTACCCATGTGTGCTTCAAAAACACCTGTGGATTTTTGGGCATGAAAAATTAGCATTTGTTCTTTTGTTATCATCTCTTACTATCCTCCCATACTAGGCTCAATAAAGATTTATTGAATGAATGTTCAATTTACTATATGAGTTATAATGATGTAAATCACAGGAACAAACAATTTTAGCATTAGTGAGTTATAATTATGCTTATACTTTCTGCATATGTTGTACTTTTCCTTGCATTTTTGGGGGGTGGGTGGATGGTGAGAGAGCATTCTCATGGAAACAGCAGTGGAAATCACATAATGGTGGCTGTAAAATAATAGTCCTTGAAGAGATTTTAAAAATTATAAATCCTGTGACATTAACAGTCACAGAACTCTCTTTTTTATTTTTTCTCTATTTACTTTTTTTCACTTACTTGGGTAGAAGGCAAAGCATGATATGGGAAGTTCACAGTGCCAGATACACAGTAGTCATTCACATATAGGTGGTATGAATAAATGCATGATGGATTAATTGGAACTTTCAGGCAATTTGTGACCAGTTCAAACTTTGAAAATTATGGTGTACTTTTGGGGAAGAGTTGGAATTTTTTCCATTGCTAAAAGAATTTGTATTCTTTAGCTTGTTAAGAAAAAGGTTTTGTAGCTTAATAGATACATGGAAAGCTGCTATACTTGTGAGCATAATTAATTGATATTTTTAATCTCTCTTGAGGACAAATGGGGGAAAATGGGTTTTCATTGCACCTGAAACAATGTAATATCCAGTGTCTCACTGATACATACTTAGGTCCTGGTACAAGTTATAGAGAACCAATAGAATATTTTTTTCCTATGCATCTTTAAGAAAGGCTAAATAATTATGTTCTTGTAGTTGCATGCCATGCTACCTGTTAGCATTAAAATTGGCTGTAGTTTTTCTTGAACATTTATATTTTTGTGACAGTTACATTTATCATTTTACCAAAATAAGGATATTATAGGAAAATTGTTTTGTTGCATTATAAAAACTACATATTTGAAAAATTGTTGAAAATACTTTAATTTTATATTCTGTATTGTGTTCATTTCCATGCGTATTTTAACTGATTGTATATTTTTCATCCAGGTCACCTTTGAAATACACAAAGAAAACCTTGCCAATATATTTAGGGAACAGCAGGGAAAAGTTGATGAAGACATAGGGCTGTGTTCTTCAAGTCCAGTTCAAGCAGTCTCTGGCATTAGCAGGGATGTTAATGTTTCAGAAGGGTCTCAGCAGTCAGATATGAAGGATTCTCCTGTTTGTCCTCATTTCACCAGAAATAGTGATGAAAACTCAAGTATTGAGAAGGCAAGTTCAGTAGAATCTGCGTCCAATAT